CACATTACCCACAGACATTTCACTTTGTTTCAGGATCGCTTTGGCTCTTGAAACGTACCGTTTTTCACTCTCTCCTCTCCACCTCCTTTCTTGCCCCAGCGTTAAGTTTTGCTGGTTTTACCACCCCTGCCTCTGCTCCCTGTATTTTAGGAGGATTCACAAATCCTGCAACGGCTTGGAGTATCCCTCTTCAGTGATGTGTAACGGTCTCTAAACTAGAAGAAAACTCTCTCTAAACTAGAATTAAACCACTTCTGACCTGGGTGGGAAAACACTGTCTCAGCCCTGTGGCACGACTCTTAAAAATCCTCACTTGCACAACCATCTTCAAATGTATGGGTTGCTTAGATAATTCAGCATCACTAACAGCAAGAGAAAGTATCACACACACATCATAGAAGCGTACCTGGACACGCATGGGAGCACTGGAGAAGGTTTGGACACTAAGGAGGGAAAGACCCACATCACGTGGTACAATAGAAACGCTCTGCTACATCAGCAGCCCAGGGGCTCCACTGAGAACCCACAGCAGTGCTGATGACGGTGCCCTTTCAACGGTGTTCAGGGGAACCAGCATTTGTGAAAGAGAAAACATCTGATGTAAATCCTCCTGTCCTCCTCTTGCCAGGAAAATGAAGTCTTCCCCTGGGGCAACAGGATGAAATAGCTGTCCTCCTCCTCCTCTTTCTGGGAGACCCTGTGCCTTCTCTTTCTATGTAATGGAGGTGCCAGATGAGATTTTCCTGTCACCGAGGAGGAGGTGACTGGTTCTGGACAGGAACACTTGGGTATCAGCTGAACTGGAGGCTGGGCCTCTGCACTGGGACCACACGTAATGCCTTCCTAGCCAGAGTCACAGCACAGCTCATTCTTGAAGTTCAACTGCATAATCTCGGCTCACAGATCTTGAATAGATTATAGTTAAAAATGCAGCTGTATTATAAGGTCTATGTTATTAAGCAACTTTGTACTATGGTGATGGTATCTATCTAGTATAACTAGAACTTTCAAACTTCACTCACCAAGAGGACAGGAAAAAAAACCCAGAGTTAACATCAATCTTTGAAAGAAATTAAAAGACACTTTTGTTAAAAACGATTTAATTTTCATAAATATAATTCTCTATTCATTACATAACATTAAAGGAATCACAAAACCTTACTCATGGGAAAATAAGATTTTACAGCTTGATTTATAAAAGTTGAAGTGAAAAATTAATAACTTCCAGTGTTAGTTTTCTATAAAACATATAAATAATCATACCATTGAATTCTAGGAATGCACTTGCCATTTAAAAAATAATAAAACTGGTATCAATAATCACTTCCAGGAGAAACAGACTGTAAGAAGTTACTTCATGGAGTTGCTTTTACAAAGAAAGGTTAACGCAAGCTCTCAAGAAGGTGCACACCACCTATTAATAGCTTTCACAAAATAAAAATAGCACTGCTTCCTTGGCCTATAGCCCAGTGGATTTCTACCATTCTTCCTCATCAAATTGGCTGCTCATTTAACTCTTCTTCCCATCTGCAGTCTCCCTCTTGCCAGTCACAAATTTTATATATTTAAAAATATTTGTTTTTCATTTGGCAAATGAAAGAGTTTAACAGGAACGTCTGTGTAAAAAGAAAATACAGTTCTAAAAAAACTCCGAACAACACAGACAGCTATGTTCACTGAGGAAAACACGTGTGAGCTTTTACTAGATTTTAATAAAATCTAGGATTAATTTTGGGGTGACCCATTAGAGACTTTGCAAATGAACCCTATCTTCAGCTGGAAAGAACAGCTGTTCTCTGGGGAAAAAAAAAAAAATCACATGCTTATTTCAAAGTAGAAATAAACCTCTCTAAAAATCAGTGCTTATTTCAGAAGATGCCAGCCAAATATTAACAAGAAAGCATGCAGAAATAAGAAAACACCAATGCCAGAGTCATCTGTAAAGCAGTGATAAATTCTGTCATTTATAATAATATATTTATTCTCACACAGGTCAATTTTTCATTAAAACTTGTTCCCTCACACCAAATACAAAAGAGCTGGAATGAAGTTAATGTGGCTATTTTTGTTTAATACCAAAAAATGACATTTGAATTTACGGACATACCAGGCCTAAAGCATCTTCCTCTGCAGAGCTGTTTCAACCACTGTGGTATATTTTAGAGCCAGTGTTTGCTAGCACTCATCTACAAAAAGAGTTACTCCAGAAGAGTTATTCCAGTTAACTCCTAGGCACATGCTCTCACTCCAGACGCCACCATCAGCATATCCACTGGACAAGCAAGTCCTGCAGCAAGGAGTCTGCAGTGCTCACCTTCCCTCTGCTTTTCTAGACTACTCTCTTCCCCTGTGATTTATTTTCACCCTGTGTGTTTGTGCTGGTAGTTAAGCCTGCCAGTAACCACGAAACGGGCAGGAGCAAACTTATTCCCCAACACCCACAAAAGATGGATAACCAGCCATCCCGCTGGTCAAACCAGACCAGTTAAAGCACTTGCATCTCTTCTGCATTTGAGATTTCGAGAAAGCTGCACCAGCACAACTGCCCTCCTTCCCCATGCAAAAGCAAAGTGATAAACATCAGTGCAACTCAGCTCTTTCGAGAAAGCTGCACCAGCATAACTGCCCTCCTTCCCCATGCAACAGCAAAGTGATAAACATCAGTGCAACTCAGCTCAGGTTGGTTAAATACAGTATGTAAAACGCAGCTTTTCTGGACCATCTGCAAGGTGCAGGAGAGCATCTGCCAGAAATCACAGCCAGTCCCTGAGAATTTGGTCTTTTTCTGCTGCGCAGAGCTCCTGCCAGGTTACGTTCTCCCCGGCTCTGTTTGCCTCGGGACTGCTGACAAGTAACCAGCTCTCCAGCGCTTGCTCAGTGCACTTTTAGCTGTGCAATTCACAGAGGACAACAATTCTGGTACCTGTATTAAGATAAGCATTATGCTGAAAGGCAACAACTCCTGGGAATCTGGGAGCATGGGCTGAACAGACCTGCCCACCTTGCTTCATGTGCTATCACACCCTAGCACCTATTTGTACCCAGATTTGCATCTTCATCCCAAGGATTCAGCAGATCCCTGCGCAGGGCAGGATTTGAAGCTGATGCCTATTGCCCAGCTTCCTAAAGCAAAATCTCATTCAAAGAATTTCAGGTCCCTCGGGCGTCACCAGACTCCCAGGTCCACCTCCTGAGGATGCCACTTTCCCTGTGGGAGCTGCAGGGCAGCTGCAGGCCGGCACTGCTGAAAGAAGAGCACAGCTTCCCGCTGCTTCCCGGGCTTGGGGCGCCATCTCCTGTCAGCACCAGGGCCCCCGTGAGCCCTCCGCCCCCGGAGCACCTCAGACTCCACTTTGTGGGGACCCTGATGTGGCCTCACTCCTCTGCAGCACCCTCCCTGCTGACACCCATGCTCCAGCTCCCTGCGGTGGGTGCGTCCCATCCTGGTGCCACCCTGGGGTGAGCAGGCTCGTCTCGAGCATCACAGACCATCAGCCCTGATTCTCCCATCCTGGGCTGTCTCAGATTGTGATCTGATCTAGGTGGTCCTGCTCAGGCAGGGGGATTGGACTAGATGATCCTTTGAGGTCCCTTCCAATCCCTGACATTCTGGGATTTCCTTACCAAAAGCTGCGCTCCGGTGTGCTGTGGTAAGTTACCCGTTCGGGAAGATCGCAGAGAATTTGGGGATGTCACGAAAGCAGAGAGACATCCACTGTGCGTGGCAGCATCCTGGGAAGGTGAAAATTAGGAAGGGGAGAGCGGGATCTCTAGGTAGGACTCGGTATCTCCAACCCTTCCTGTGAGCAACAGCACCATACAGCTCTAACCACTTAGCACTGTCCCGTCACGGAGATGCAATTTGCTAGTTCCGTGTGCCCAAGAGATACGTACAGTCAGTGTCCTCGAGTTCAAACAGCACCACCACCATCTGCAAACACCCTAACTACCTTAATGTGTGCTGTAACGACGGAGACGTCGATAGTTTAAAAAGCTGCCTCCAGTAGAAGTTTTATAAGCCACTGAATGACACTGCAAGCTTCGATTCTGAGGACGGAGAAAAGTTCAGTTCAGAGAACGAGACAGAGAACGACGGTTAAAGAAAACATTTCTTCGCTAGCCAAACCCAAACAACTCCTCTGAACGCCAAGCTTTCCCCTCAATAATTATTGCACTGCAGGCAAACAACAGCTCTGTGAACTGCCATGTCCCTCACCCTGTCCCCGTTATCCTAACAGCCTAAAAAGCAACATGTCTTCCTTCTCCATCCCCCATGGTATCAGCTATCCGCTGAACGAACACAGCAAATCACTGCTTAGAAACTCAGCCTCTGCTGCTGGGCCATTTGCAAGGACTCAGGACGGCAGTGGGCTCACGAATCGGGGTCAGTATTGAAGGGCCACATGCCACAAAGGCAAACGGGTGTCTGTGCTTCCAGGAGAGCACCGCCATCGCCAGCGGCCGGCTGGCACCGCAATGGGCCGCACGGACAAGACCAGACCCATGTGCACGGAACTACCATTTTACTGACACGACGATTCTGTCCCAGCCAGGCTGAGCAGGGCAGAGGATGGACATGTTATTATTGTCTTCTAACCTGAGAGTTTAAAAAAAAAAATATTAAAAAATTGGCAGGTACTTAATTTAACAAATCTCCTGTCGTGCCCACGAGGTAGTTAAATGTTAATAACCACAAAGGCCTGACAGGGAAAACTGAGGCACTTCAAAGTGAGGTAATTTGTCCAAGACACAGTCAGGATCCCTATCAGAGCCAGAAATGCTGCGCTGGGCTCTTGGCTCCTGCTTAGCTCTGAACACTGAGCCGAGCTCCTTTCCGGGCTCGAATGTCAGAGGCACTGCAGGCCACGGATTTCTCAGAAGGTTAGAGGAGTCTGTCAGAGATGAAACTGCTGCTGGCAACAGAAAAACATGGACATTGTGTAGGAAAATCCAGGCTGTAAGGGCCACGCAGACAAGGGAGGAGGGACACTGCGAAGGCATCACCCGAGCAGAGCTTCATAATCCACATACCACACCAGCTGGCCAGAGCTGGGGCTGACACCCGAGATGGGCCATTTCCTTGGCTCATGGCCCACTCTGCTCAGCAGGGTGGTGATATCATGCTTGCCCTTCCCCAAAACCAGGACAAACACCCGCCTGGCCTTGTTGATGAGGGGGAGGCTAAGGCTCATTCTTTGGTGAGGTTTGACAGGGCTTTCAGTCAGCACCACAGTCTGAGTCCCTTCCAAGCCATTTTCAGACTGGGGGAAGAGCGAGGCAGTGTGCCCATCACTGCCCACCCCCAGCAGCACCAGGTCAAAGCTGGCATTGGCCACCAGGGCCATGATCTCCTTGGCATACAGCTCCGTGCCTCTGTCCTCTTCCACACAGAGCCGCTGGTTCAGGTACACAGGCATGGGGTGGACATTGAAGTAGGGCACTCTGACACTTTGGAGGAGATGGTTGTGCAAGCTGAAGAAGTTGGACTCAGCATCGGTGAGAGGGACACAGCGTTCATCCACCAGCCAGACGTGGGTGTGCCTCCACGGGAAGGCATAATGGTGTCTTGCCAGCCGCTGGAACAGGACCACTGGGCTTGAGCCACCTGAGAGGGCCAGGTGGAACTGCCCAGAGTGTGCCACAGTCCTGCTTGCTGTCTGCTCGATGTCAGAAGCCAGCTGGGAGACCAGATCCTCAGACCATGCTGAGACCAGGGGACTTTGCCGAAATTTGGACTGGATCGTCCTGTAATCACTTGGCATCAGCCTGTTGGGGTATGCTACTGTGAATGCCACTTCCCCATTCACCATTTCAAAGTCTAAGAGGTGCTGGTTCTCCACACCCCCAGGGTAGAGGCGCAGCGGCTGGTGGGAAATGCTCTCCAGCAGTGGTGTCCAGAATGCCCAGGAGGCCAGCAGATTCTCGGTGGTAATGAAGAAGTCCTTCCTGCCATGGTAGATGTTGGAGATGAGGACAGAATATGCATCTCTCTCTTTCACAGGTCTGTACACATAGTAATCAGACAATGGCTGTCCAAAAATGTGCAGGTCTGACTGATCTGCTGCTTCTCTCCAACTGCCTTCAGGCATGATGGGCCTGAAGAGGTTCCTGCTCACAAGCACGGCAGGGGTGTTGAGTGCGCCGTGCCCGATGTAGAAGATGATCTGCTTGGCTTTACACTGGCTGTGCCCTGCATCTCTCAGAGTCTCGCTCTGAGTGCAGTATGCTCGGTTCTTGAAGAGGACACGGACGTAACCTACCCGTTCATCCAGAGCTTTCCCAGAAGCGAGGAAGAAAGGGACCCCTTCCCAACGCAGGTTGTCACTCTGAATCAGGACACCTGAAACGACAGTGATCTCAGCTGCCAAATTAAACCTGAACAGCAAGCAGATCTGAGAGGATCTCTTATCATCTACTCATCGTTCTCCCTCCTTAGCTCCCAGAAATCTTGCTATTCACCGTGTCTCTTGCTCCACATTCAGCCCTTTCCTGACATCACTGGACTAACTGCTCTCCAGCTACTCTGCTGTGCTTCCTCCCAGGTATCCTCCTTGAATAGCTTCCTTTTATCTTGCAGAAAACCAGTTTCAATGCACAAATATAATTCAGACAAAACCTTTAATGTTCAGAAGACACAATATGGCCAGAGATGGCCTTGTGGTCTACTAATCACAGAGAACTGCCAATGCTTTATCCCTCAGATGCAGAAAGTAACTTGACTTTATGAAAAGGGAAAGGAGTTTGCAGGCCACTTCTAAAAATAACGCAGAGATCTGCGCAAGAATAATGGGACTTAGCTCTTAGGCAATGCTTCCCATTCACTGGATCATTAATGAACAACAGTATTATCCAGTTACAGCTCCCAGTTACCATGTTGGTGGATGCCTGGAGACACCCCTGCGTCAGCAGTGAGGTCCAGAGTCATGGAGCTGATATCAGCACGCAAGGACTCACATCTGCTGCTCTCCTCAGCTCTGGACTACTCCCTTCTCCAGGGTCCAGACCAAACTCTCACCTGCAAAGGTTGGTGTTGTGCTGATATAATCTTGTGCCTTCTGCAGTTCCTCCCGTACTTGGCCGGCATACGCCTGATACTGACCCAACACCACACTGTTTTTCTCCAGGCGCCGCAAGGACTGGAAAGCCTGCAGTTTGCACTGCAAAACCTCTTCAGCCCTGCTCACGTTGGCTGGGAGCTCCATGGTCAGGAACATCAGGGCCTCTGTCAGGTGGTTCTGCAGCACGTCCCGGATGACTCCATACTGCTCGTAGAAGCTGGTGCGGCCTGAGGACAAACAGGAGGTAAGATGCTAGCACGCTGCTGTGGTTTCCTTGCAGCCTTGCCCTCTGCATGTATAACATGCATGCCAAGGAGAACAAAGAGCACAAGCCCAAATTGGTTTGCACCAAGGTCCTTTTCTCCTGGCCCAACAATTAACTTGAAGCTATCAAGCCCAGAGAAGTTGTGGATGCCTCGTCACTGAAGTGTTCAAGGTCCGGTTGGACAGGGCTTTGAGCAACCTGACCTACTGAAAGATGTCCCTGCCCATGGCAGGGTGGCTGGACTAGATGATCTTCAGAGAACCCTTTCAACCCAAACCATTCTATGATTCTAAGCCTTTCCTTTCCCCACAGAGAGGCTTCCAAAATGCTTCTGCTACTAAAATAAAGACAAAAGGTTCCCACAGGACTGCTTGTCCTGCACAGAGCCAGACATAATCCTCCTTTTGGGTGCTTACAGAGCCTAAACCCAGCGGGAGTAACACTCTCGGCTGATACTTCCTGAGCGCACAGAGCAGAAGGTGGCTTTGCTTTCTTGGACTGCTTGTGCTTTCAGAAGCTACAATTGATGACTAGCAGCAATATCCAGCTCAAACCCCCCACATACAGCACGATGCAGGGCCCCCGTAGAACCCCACTCCGACACTCCTGTCCCACAGCTCACAGCACCTGGGCCGGGGACTCCACACACGTGCAGTTCTACATAAAAGCTTTCACAGACTAGCTGGAAAGCGGGGTCAGAGCAGGGACCCCAGCAGCTCTATAGCTACACCCCAGGTCCACAGAACAGCTGAAGCTGGGCCCTGGCAACGACCACTGCTCTTCACTGCCTCTTCTCCTCTGGTTTTCATGTCCTCAGAAGGCTCTGGCTGAGCCATGCCCTTGAGAGACAACATTTCATGCACAAAGCCCTGCTTCTCTTTCCCCGCCTGACTTCTCATGCAGGTGGGAACACAGGGAGAAGGACGATACACTTAAAAAGAAAGTAACTCCAACAGATGCCTTCCTGTAGTCCATGGGCAGCAGGCTGCATGCTGCAGACTGCACCACGGCCACAGGCTTCCCCGATCGATTGACACATTTCTCTCTCTTGCTCTAATCCAAAGGCACATTCATTAACGTAATCAATGCTGCAGACTTGCTGGAAGCCCGGCTGCCAGCTGAAGACACACAGGGGAAAAAAGATGTCAAATGAAAAATTACAAAGTTCTTCAGAGCAAGGAGGATACAGGATGTAGCTGGGGCTACGCGCAGGCAACACTGTTCTCCCTAAATCTCTCTGCAGTGCATCCCTCTCCCACAAACAGGCCCAGGTGAGGTCTGGGCTGCCAAACCAAAGATTACTCGAAGTTTGATAAAGTTCCATTAATTGACTTTGTGGTGGCTGAGGAAGGAAGGGAGGGTGGGAGGGAGGCGGAAAACAGGAGAGGAGGTAAAGCGAGTGGAGAAGCAATCCTGATGTTGCAAATCTGAGGGCGCCTGACATCCCAAGAAGTGCTGCGGGTGGCAGTCCAGCCCAGAGTGCTTTATGCTGAGCACTGCAGAGCGGATGCTGCAGCATTGCAGGGAGGGATTGCAGCCGTGTCCTTCAGCAACAGATCCATGCTAGCAATTCTGAGCTTCGATTTTCTCTCTGCAATGCTCTTTTCTTACTACAGAGAGGAAGGGAAAGAAACAGGCAGATAAACACAGACTGACCGAGGTACCTGGACTGACACCAGCCAATAAAAGTAAAATCCAGGCAAAAGATGCAAAAGCATCTTCCAAACAATAGTGCAAATGTACACTCAGTGCGAGCTTGGTAGCTAACAGGACAGGAATACAAAAGGGTTGTTGTCAAAACCACCAGATTATTGCAGCACTGAACTGAAGTGGCCTTAGACTGCATCAATTTCAAATCCAGTGCCTTTTACCAAGACTTGGGATAGAGAGTTAGGTGCAATGCCCCCAAAGCTCTGCAGCAGAAAAAGGTGGGGGATTCTGCTCTTGCTCCCAGCTGAACTGCAATGAGAATCTTTTCTTCGAAGCAGCAATACTACCTGGAAGTGACTCGGTCCCTAGAATAGGAAGCGTAAGACAGTCCCTCTCGATTTCCAGGGAGCAACATATCATTCATCTGCTCTTTCATGTTTCTGCACCAGCATTGCCTCAAGGGCCACTTTCACATAATTTATGAACCTGCTAGTTCTTCTCATTCAGTCACCCTACCTCTGCACACTTGCCTCACCAACCTTTAGCATCCACAGTCTCTTTCAAGACAATCTCCACTCTTTAAAAAAAAAGGTTCCAAATTGGGTCCAGAAACTGTCGATTCTGATCTCGAAAAGGCAGGATATGGGCTACAGCCTGTGAAGGGAAAAATCAAAGATCCAACAGAAACTCACCAGATTTCCACAGTATCTCTGCCTCACTGCCCCATCCAGCACTGGGATGTGGCCAGCTATGGAGTGCCAGCAGACATGCCACACAGCAGAGAGAAGAGTGTGTCAGAGAAGAGAAAATCAGCAAGGGAGCCTGCAGAGATGCACAATAGGGTCTCCATTGACCGTACAGAGCAGACATTAAAGGTCTTGCTGAGGCATTTTGAGGTCTCATGTGAAAAAGGCTGAGCTACAAACTGCAAGGCACTCAGTTTATATCCATCAAAGTACAAAGGGCTGAGTAAGACCATCCTGGGACTAACGTACAGTTCCAAAGTGCTGAAATGCATCAGATCAGATGCTTACATCACTAAAGCCATATGCTCTTTTTGGGAGAAAAAAAAGAAATTCCCCCTGTTAGTAGAGATGCTCTCCTTGCAGCTGGACATGCAATCTTCGGAGTAAAATCTAGCCACAGTGCCATGGCTGGAACAGGCTACTTTCAAAATGTGGCATCACATTCCTCTAACACAAGGGTGGCATGTCCTTGAACACATTCCCTCTGGGACAATGCAGCTCCAGATCCAGAGCTGTCCCTGCAGCAGCCAGTCCTCCATGCCCTGAGTGCAGCACAGGGCAGGAAGAAACCTTCTTCTAAGCATCCTGCAAAACTAACATCCCATCAGCTCCATATCATATCAAATTAAAAACTGTTTCTAGAAGCCACAGCTAAGCAGAGAGGCCTGCGTGTAATGAGATGGGAGAACTGTGAGAAGGAAAGGGCACTGCTTATTCAGCGAAATCAGAGCCCTGACCTTGGTGAGAAGACCAGATGAATTCTGGGGACCCTCATCACTAACAGGAGAAAGCCCTGCACATTTCTTCTGCTCTGTAAGAAGACGGACAGCAGCACAGTACAGGACAAGAGTAACAGTACAGGACTCCATAAGCAAATGGGGGCTTGGGAACACACTCGGTGGATCTGCCTGAATTTGAGAGGGGAATAACATCCTCATTAGATGCAGAGCTGACATTCCCAGCCACTAAGTCCCTCAATCTGGCAGGGGGCTGCACATTGCAAGCTGCTCACCTGTTTGCCAAGGTAGTGGTCCACCCGGTACATCTCCTCTTCCCTGAAGAAGCTTGTCAGGTTTGCAGCCAGCTGCTGGGCTGACTCCAGGTCATGGCCAAAAGGTTTCTCCAGCACCACACGCAACCAGGCTCCTGGAGGTGGTCTGCAGCTGCTGTTGATATGGCGGGCAATCTCTGTGTAGGCAAATGGTGGTACTGAGAAGTAGAAGATCCTTCCAGCCTCCTTCAGCCCCTCCTGACTAAGCACCGTCTCAATCTCTCTGTTCAGTGCAGTGTAGTCTTCGGCAGTCTTCAGCTGGTGGTATTGGCTCAGCTTCAGGAATTGGTCCTTCAGCACAGCACACCTGTTGGGAGGTTCATCTGGGGGACAGGCCAGCTTCTTCAGCACATCAAACATCAGCTTCTGCCCCGGCTCCAGAGCTGTCAGCGCAGCCCCATGGAAAGTGAAGCTGTGGCCACTGCTCACTTGGTCCATGTAGAGTTGGAATAGACCTTGCCACAAATACTTCTTGGCCAAATCACCTGTAGCTCCCAGCAAGACCACTGAGATGTGGCCCTGGGACACTTCGGCCAGTGATGGCAAGGCTCCCATGAACAACACTGTACACAGGACTCTTCTCAGCATCTTGGGAGAGAAGAGGTAGACCCAGGAACACTAGAGGACAGGATTAAAGAAGCAAATCTGTCAATCCACGTTACAACACTGCAAAACACAATGCAAGGTACCTGCTTTCCCATGGCTGAAGAACCCGGGACTTCTGCCTGGATCCTCCACCCAACAGTCTCTCCTCTCAGTAGTAACTGGACTCTTGAAAAGACTGCAGCCTACTCATGCAAACCAAGAAGTGGAAGACAGCGTGTGCCTAAGGTCTTTCGGTAGCATAAGCATAGTTCCCACAGTTAATGACGGGTTGTCAATGCCTTTAGACTGTGCAAATTAAATCCATTTTAACACAAATTTCAGAGCTGGCTACAAACACACACATGTGCCTGCAAATTAAGTACTGCTTTCAACAACCTCCTGTTCGGGACTTTGCTCAAATGGTATTATGCTGCCTTGGCATTGCTTCACGTCAATATTGTCATAGCAGCTCAGAGACAAGCATGACCACTGGCAGTTCCAGTACACAGGCTCTTTAATACACTGCACTTTCATGACTCATGTGCATCACCAGTTTCATGAACAGAGCTGAATTAGGTTCTAATGAGCTACTAGGAGACAAATGGTCTGATAAAATAACACGGGGGAAGAAGTTTAGTCCTTAAAATTGAGTCTAGACATGAACCAGTCTAGGTGCTGTCTCATGATGGTTGTGTACGCGGCCAAGAGACAATGTTGGGTTTGTGTTTTGCCTACTGCAACTTTCCACCACTGAAGAGTGCATGTCAGCACCTGTTCTGGCCCTCTCCACTCAGTACCCGTTCAAACCACTGCAGCCAGTAACAGCCCTGACCAAAAAGCCCCTTTGCTCATTCTTATTTATTCCTGTTTCTCTAATCCAAAATAAAGTTGTTTTTAAGAGAAATGACACATCTAGTTCTTATACCTAGAAACACAGACATGACTTTACATCTCAAGAGAGATAATCCAGAAAAACTGAATAAACCATTGCGCTGTTCTTCCTACAGCAAGTATTATTTCAGAAGCTCTTACACTGGCTATCTCATTCTCTTAATTTCATTTTCTGAAGTTGTGTTTAGCTGGAGCACAGCCTTCATAGCACACAAGATAATTAACTTCTTTAAAAACTTTCAGTTCTGGTCAATAAATGTATACCTTTTAATTTTAACTGTGTAGGAAAACCAGCTAATTTTTGAAAGTAAGAGGAAAACGTACATGGCTTTTTTATACTGGTGCAGTTGCAGTCTCACTAGGCTTTGCACTGGCACGATTACACCATTTTAAAATGGCAGTTTCGTGACCATACAACTGAGAAATGGATCTTGGGTATGAGAATGAACATGATAGATAATCTTAACCTTCTGCAGGCAGAGACAAGACAGAAAAGTGTCTTATCAGATTCATAGGTTCATAGTCAGCTAGAAAACATATCACTGGCTCCATTGCTCCAGTTACAGCTGTATATATGCCCTAGGACCAAAAGCTGTTAGCTTTTACCTGCCCAGACTTACTCAGGATTGTTTTTCCTAACCTGGAGCAACCTGGTCCTTGCTCCCCTTAAACAGCAGATGGATGAAACACAGATGTTATACCAGCTCTTTATTGGTTCTACCCCTGGAAAGCTCCCAGAAAAGTCACTATTCCATCACCAAATCAACACAGGATCTAAGTCAACTGAAGGATCAGGATAACTAAAACAAAATAAGGAACTTCTGAATACCTCTCTCTATCTGCAGCTTGAACTGGTCTTTATAAATCTCATGTTTCTCTCCCCAACAGACTCACCTGAGTAATGCAGGAGCTTTACAGAGGCTGCAGCAGCAAAAGTAGCTGGAAACTTGTCTTCTTCACAGCCCCTCCAGAGCACAGACCTCTCTTCTGCTGTGACCGAGCATACGGCACGCTCTCTGGTCAATGGTCAGGTAAGCAAGTAAGATAAGGCAGGTTGTTCCCTTTCTGGTAAATGGGAGGAAAGACCCAGTTACAGCAGAGAAAAAAAATGAGCAGGCCTGTGTCAGCAGCTTTGCAGCACATCTCAGCTCTCAGCCCATACACGTCGGCTGTGCTAGACCTTTTGGCTGACGTTTGTGAACAGGCAAAACACACGCATATGTGGCAACTCCTATTCCCCATCGTGTCTTCTGACCAACTCCTCTGTTTTGCACGTGAGCTGAGATCAATGCTGAAGGTCTCCAACTGAGACTCTAGTGAGCTGCCCCAGGAGCAGATCCCCACTCCAACTCTGACGCAGTGAGAAGGGGGCAGTTTTGGTGAGCCCCCCTAGGACAGGACTTGTTCCATGCTGCTGTGCCTTTGGGGCATCCAGGCTTCCCTCTCAAAGGTCAGTTTGCATAGAGACTCCTTGGCTTTTCCTTCCCTGTTTCCTACATCTCCCTGAACAGATGGTCCAGTATTCACTGCTCTTCTCCAGAGAGCTTCAACAAGATATCTCACAGTCTGTAAATTTAACTTCTATCATCTCTCCCCAGCCTTCTGTTGTGACTGCCTCCCTTCTTGATGTGCTATTTAAGCTCCACGTACTCACTTAAGGAATCCAGCAAATAGTGCTGGCAATTGCAAGAGGGGCAGAAGCGTAGCTCCTAAGATTTTGCCTGCAGTAGAAATAATCAGCATTTTAGGCAGAGGTTTGGTTTTCCTTCCCCCCGACTATGGGGCTCTAATGCAGATGACAAAGTTTCTCAGTGTGATAAAGTAATATTTACATTTGCTTGAGCAACCCTTGTTCCAGGAACCTAGAGAAGTTTGACATACTGCTCACTGCAGCTTGGCAGGCTGCAGTTACTGCGATATTGCACAGAGATGACAGCTGAAGAATGGGTACCTACTATGGAACGGGCAGGATTTGGGTGGATCATTCTTTTCCACGTACCCAAGGAAAAGAGTGAATTAGCCAAGCAGTGTCCTGGTAGATTGAGCTACACAGTCACTTGTATTTCCAAGCCAACTGAAAACCAGTTTCACAACACTCCCAATTGCAAAATATTGTGCTACGCTGCCCAGAATAAGCACGGTAAATCCAGGGATGTTTGTTTATTGCTTTCATATCAGATAATCACCACTGTTCATGTTAAAAAATAATACTCTTAATATCCCCCAGCTAGCCAGCACAAAGTTACGCAGTCAGGCTTCAGAAAAAGACTGCTGGGCCTGATCCACATACAACACTGTAAGAGCTTAACCCAGCACGAAGCATAAGACTGTGCATTCCCCTGCACCATCACCGGAGTTCCAGTTTGACAAGAGCCCATTTCAAGTCTTGTAAGTTCCCCTGCTATAAGGAACAATTTAAAAAATTCTTTTTTGTTACTGTTGCATCCTCCCTGAAAAATAGTTAAGAGATGCACAGCCAAATGCAGCATGGCCTGGGGCTCCTACAAGGCCATGCACATGTAACACATGAACAGAAGAGTTACCAAGCTTCCTTGAGAATCAGGAAAAAAAGTATTGGTCTTCGGCACATGCAAACA